TGTTTTCAAGGTTCATTCACGTTGTAGCATGTATCAGAATTTCATTCCTTTAAGACACATTTTGTGGAAATTTATTGCTTATTATTGATCACAGCAATAAATGGCTAATACAGAGATGTACAGAAGTTGATGAATTTGAGAGATGATATAGTAGGTAAAAGTGACAAGACCTGTGTTGGGCTAGATATGGGAGATGCTGATGATGACTCTTAGAATTCTAGCTTGTGCAACTGGATGGAGAGGGGTGAAATTTACTGGTGCTATAAGGTACTCTGCAAAGGAGCAGGATTTGGAGGGGAAATCATGTTAACTTTGAGTGTACTGAGTTTGGACCTTTGTGATGTCCAAGTGGAGGCTCCATGAGCACCTGGATATATGTGTGAAGCTCAGAGGCAAGATCTGTGTTGTGATATGTTCCTGAGTCTAGCAGAAGTTACCAGGAGTTTTTCCCAATTTCTTTCCTCTATAATAGAAGTTTTATATGGGTGTTATGTTTCCCCTAACTGAAGACTATATTTCCGTCTCCATTACAACTATATGTGGCCATGTAACTAAGTTCTGGATGATGGGATATGCATGGAATGTGTGCAATTTCAGAATCACGCACTTAGAAAATAAGAAGCATGCCAACCCCTTCCCCTTCTCCTCTTCCCACTGGCTGCAACGGCAGCATAGTATATGATCTGGTTCATACGTTAGATCTCAAATGGAAACCCTTGTTGAAGATGACAGCAAAAATGAGAATGACTCTTTGAGACCATGGAGGTATCATATTAACCTTGGATTGCTAACTCTTGGACTGCTACAAGAGAGAAAAATGAACTATTATCTTGTCTGGGTCTACACTGTCCAATACAGTTACAAGAACTAGAAGAGGTAAGGAAGCCATTCTTCCCTAGAGCCTTTGTGGGGAGTGAGGTCTGCTGACACCTTGATTTCAGACTTTTGGCCTTCAGGACTCTGAGAGAATACATTTCTGTCATTTTAAGCCACCAGAATGTGATGATTTGTTATGGCATCACTAGGACAATAATACAGGTGGATAGCAGGACTGTTACACCTTTCTCTAGTATTACATTAATTCTCCAACTCTGTCCTACAACTTATTCTTCAGGATACTTGATCTTTCAATACTCCATAGATTCTGATCAGCTGTGTTGAGGACACCATGCTGATAATACCTAAAAAGCAGGAAGGAGCTGATAGACACACTATGTCTTATCAAGACACCCACATGCCAGAACATGTGAGATAAATCCTTGAAAACTGGGGAGCCAGTCACCTCAAGGAAGTTACTGAGAATCCAATAGTCTGAGAACAGTAAGAATATCCCACATGACCAGATGAAGTTACATCTTGAACCCCCTGCCACTAACAGATGACATAAAAATCTCCATTAGAGCAGGCATTCCTTAGCCTGCTTTGTTCTCACTTAGAAGCCCATCATAAATATTTGTTGATGAATGAATGAAACTTCCCAATGGACCAGGATATGGAAAGATCTGTGCGATATCATGATATAAGATATATTCACATTGTCTCCAGTTTCTGGCACAGAGCTCCTAAAACACTTGTCATTTACTGAGGACTAGGGGGTGTCTAGTTATAAGCCTCTTTCAACCTCATCTGAGATTATGCTAATGAGATGACTCTTGTGGGCCTCTAGGTAGCTTCTGGATAAGGTTGGGGATGGGAGAAGGCTGGTTGCCTGAGGAACCATCTGTAATTGTAGGGTTAGAACTTTCAGCCCCACCTCCGACCTCCTGAGATTGAGCTGAATCACTGGTGGCCAATGATTTTAATCAATCATGCCTATGTAATTGAAACGCCACAGAAACCCCAAATGATGGGGTTCAGAGAGTTTGAAGGTTGGTAAATGCATGAAGTTTCCAGAAGGGGGGCTGCAAACCCCCCACTCCCCAACTCCTTGCCCTGTGCATCTCTTCTGTATGACCGTTCCTGAGTTGTATCCTTTATAATAAATCAGTAATACCAAGAAAAGTGACTTCCAGCTTCTGTGAGCCATTCTAGCAAGTTATTGAACCCAAGAGGGGGGTCACGGTCAGAAGCATGGGAGGACTGGGCCTAACAATTGGTGTCTGAAGTGCGGGTGGTTTCATGGGACTGAGCCCTTAGCTTGTGGGGTCTAGTGCTAAGTCCTGGTCATTAGTGTAACCAGATTCAGAATTAAATTGAATCCCTGGACACTCACTTGGTGTCTGGAGAGTAGGAGAATTGGTTGTGGCATAACAAACAAACAACAACAAACGAAACCCCACACATATTTGGTGTGGGGTTTCGTTTGTTGTTGTTTGTAAAAAACCATTCATTTGTATCCCAGATGAGTTTTTTCCCCAAAACGTCCATTACAGAGAATGCTATTAAGTCATCTGGTAGATCAGATGACCGCTCTGAGGCTATCAGTCAGCATATTTCCTCAAATGCCCCACTGCTTGCTTGATGGGCTTGTGAACAAAATCATTCAGCCAGGCTTAGCCAGCCATGTCACTGATGAAGGTCCACGTTGCTGGCAGCAGCAAGAGGTGCCGAGCCCCACTTGTGGGGTGATTTCTTCATAGGGTGAATAGGCCAAATACGCGGTCACCGGAGGATTACATGGGACCCATGTCATCATGGACTGGGCAGTGAGTTTTTCTCCCTGGAATGATTACTACCTCTGGGCTATTATTTGCTTTTCTAGCCTTTCACACTCCTGCCAACAGTAGCATCTGTGTCTGTACTCAATGGCCCTATTCACCGTCACGTTAACCCACACAATATTGCTTCTGATCGAGGAACTCAGTTTGTTAGGAAGTCACTGGGTGGGTTCATGTACCCCATCACCCCAAAGCAGATAGTCTCACAGAATAGAGGCACATCTTGTCTGAGACTGGGTTACCGTGCCAGGCTGCACTCAACACTGTTTGGGATGGGATGTTGTCCTCCAGGATGGGTAAATACTCTGAACTGGTGGCACATGCATGCTGCCAGATTACACAGACCTGCGAACCCTGAGGTATGACTTCTCAAGGTCACACCCCATGACTTAACTCTTTACATGTTTGCTTTCTGGGCCTCTGTCCTCAACTCTGCAGTTGTGAAATTTTAGTGCCTCAAGCGGGGAAGCTTCCACCAGCAAACACAAGATAGGAAGTTGTATGAGTGGAAGCCACCCATGGACTATTTGGGGTATCCCAGGAGTGCCACTACCAGGTCAGGCAAAGAGGGTGACTGATTTGGGCAGGAAGGGCGGGGGGAGAGATACTGCTATGCTGGGGGCCAAGGAGCTGTGTGAATAGAACCTGGGGACGTCCCTGGAGAACCTGTAACTAATGCCACGTCCTGGCTCCTATCTGTCCTGATCCGGGGTTCATGGAGACCCCCTCACTACGCAGGGCACAGAATTATGGGCAAGGTCTGTGCCTATCTCCTTTGCAGGAGCACAAAACTGGTAATACAGGCTCCACATCCCTCCCACTCCTCTGCTACCCCCCACTTCGGCAGAGCTCATAGCGTCCAGGTCCCCGCGAGCCCCTCTCACCCCCGTAGGCCACGCAGCCGGGTATACAGAGCTCCGAGACCCTTTCGGACCCCTCCCTTCGCCACTCGTGCAGTTTCCACCCCTGTGCTCCGCCTCAAAGCTTCCTCCGTCGACTGCCTGGAAGGCACCCAGCGGCAGCAGCGAGGTCAGCTCCCGGTTAGCGCAGCGTCGCCGAGCATCCTCAGCCGCTACCAGGCCCCGCCCCGCGGCAGCCGCAAGCCAGGCCACGCCAAGGACGACTGCAGAGCTGGTGAGTATGTACCACCGAAGGGAGGGATCCAGGCGGCCGGGTCCCCGTCCTGCCGGATCCGGCAGCGAGACCTTCAGCTCTCTCAGGTTTCTCGGCTCTCAATCGGTGCCAGGGCCCCAGGGCTGCCCCTAGAAAAGGACCCCGCAGCCCCTCTCTGCTCTGGGACCAAGCACATCGGCCCCTGGGGCCTCTCCCCTCCTGCGGGAACCGGGAATCTGGCGCCCCCAGCCCCGTCCTCATTAAGCTTCTGAGCCCCTTCCTCTTTCAGGAGCCGGGAATGCAAGCCAGAAATCTCTCTCCCTTCCAGACCCAAGAGGCTCCGCTTGCAACCACATCTTTTCCGAACACCCAGGGGTCTGAGCTGTTTGCTCGTTTGAGACAAGAATCTGGGTCCCCAGCCTGGGCGTTATGTGGAACCCAGGAGTCTGTGCCCCCAACTCTTACAGCCCTAAATCCCAGGAATTTCTCCCACCCCACCAACTGGCATCTGGGACCGAGAACTCCGGCCTACCAGTCCTTGCACCGTGAGTCCCAATGTAAATGATGATCAGAGGACCCATTTTGCTCCTCCCTCAGATCCTTAAGTACAGGAATCCAACCGCTGGCCTTTGGGGGACCCAGGAGTCGGGGACCTCAAGTCAGAAGTCTCCAGAAGCCTAGAAATCGGTACCTCTTTCCTTTTTCGTGGGCGCAAGGAGACAGAGATCCTAGCCCACAGACCCCATTACAGTGAGGCTCGGTTTCCACCCAACCCGCTGCGACCCAGATGTCCAAGTTTTCATCCATTGTGAAAGGCGGGGTTGGAGCAGACGGAGAGGGAGGAAGCAGGGAGGGAGGAGGAAGAAGTGAGCGAGGTGGGATGTGGGCTGAGGGTCTCAGTCTTAAACAAATGCTAAACAAGAGGGTTGCCGTGGCAACGGCCTTCTAGAGCCTCCCTTGGAGACACCACTGGGGCAGAGTCCAAGAGGGCAGCCCCCAGGAGCCCCCACTCTGCCAGCTGTTGTGTCTTCCTGTTTTGTCACCATGGCGACGATGACCTCAGCCTTCCCCTCCCCACCTCCGGCGGAGCTGGAGAGCCGAGGTGCATTTATCATCCGGAGGGGCGAGGTCTTTGTGTTGGCTCCGCCCAGGGCCGGGCTAGGATAGCCCTGGCCCCAGGGAGTCCTGGTCTCCGCTGGAGCTCAGCGCTCCCGCCCCGCCCCCGGCCCCGCCCGCGCTTCCTCCCCAGTTTGCTATCCCCACCCAGTTAGCAGACCCTTCCAGTCCTCAGCTGTCGCCTCTGCTTCAGCTGCAACCGCCACAGGCCCGTGAGGTGAGGCTGCGGTGACTCCCGCGGGTGTCAGGATTCTTGGGAAGGAGGAATGGGCTGGGATTCAGACTGTCTGAGTCCCTAGAAAGCCTGGGGCTGGGCCACGACTCGGGTTCTGGAGAAGAGGGGCTGGAGCCCTGGACTCTCTTACACGTCCTACCTCTGACGGAGGAGGGGGCCCGGGGCTCTGGACTGCTAGGTCTGATGGAGGAGCGGGCTGAGGCCCGGGACACCCGGGTCTGAGGCGGGGTATTGAGGGGGCTGGGGATCGTGACACCTGGGTCTAGCGGGAGGCTGGGGGTCGGACACCTGGGTCTGAGCGGTGGGGAGGTTGGGGGCCTGGACTGCTGCGTCCGAGGACGCAGACGGATGGGGTGTCCAAGGATCCTGGGTTGAAGGGGGCTGGAATCTGGTAAGAGGAGATCCCCAGGAGGGTAGGTCCTTAGAGTTGAGAGTCCCGAGTTTGGGAGAGTGGCTGTGCTTCAGAAGTACTGACCTCCCATCCTGGGGACAGAATCCGAATTTGGGCTGTGAAGGCCGGGGGCTGAGATCGAGCACCCGCGCTGCGGAAGCGCGGGCGGAGGTGGGGAGCCGGCCGAGAGAGAATAAGGCTGAGGCCAGCGTCCCTGGGTATCTAGAACACAGGCCAGGGTTCTGGGGTGCAATCCTGAGTCTGTAGAAGGGTGGATGTGGTGCTCCGCGTGGAGGTGAAGAGAAGGAAGGGGTGCAGGCGGGGGAACCCTGAGTTGTGCGGAGAAGCCCAAGGGGTGTTCCTCTTCCTCCTCGAGTGTCCCACCGCGCATTCCTGAGCTCTGGCTCAGGCGACCCTGAGGGTGGCCCCTGCGCTAACCCGTCTTCCACGCGACACTTCAGAAGTCCTGGCCCATCCTCTTCCTCCTGGGCGGTCCCGCCTTTCTTCTAACGGGTCTGGGAGAGGCGGGGTTGGGGAGGCACCTTCCAGGTGGCCCCAGAGATCTGCCCTCCAGGAGATGGTGGGAGGTGTGGCAACTCATCTTTGTTCTGGATTCCAACGCAGAGCAGTGTTAGGCCTCAAGGTGGGCAGGGGTCTCCACGAGGCCAACCCAGGGGCCCGGGTTCTCCGTAACTCCTCTCTTTGAGACCTTCTTGGGGGAACCAGGCACCCAGCCCGTCCTCATAGGGACCCGAAATTCATGTTGAACGACACAGAAATTTGGGTTCCAGGCCTTACCTCCTAAAACCTGGAATCCAAGCTCCCTGCTCCTTCCACTCAGTCCCACCTCACTCCCCCGTGTGACCGACTGAGCAGGGCAGGCCAGTTTTTGAGGCCAGCGCGGGGCGGAGGTCTGGGCGCCGCCTCCCGGTCCCTGCCACATTCCAGATGGCTGGGCTGACTCGAAGTCCTTATAAGGCCGAGAGATGCGGCCCTCGCCCGGCCGCCCGCCCCCGCTTCCGCCCC